GAAGGATTTTATTAATTAAGGGCTTGAAGCTGAGGCAAGGGGGTTCTAAGTTTTAGGACAGCCTGAAACCCTGTCTAGATTAAATAAATAAAGGAAAGAATATATCAAGCAAAAAAAAAATGACAAATGGACTGAGAAAAAAATCAGGGAAACAACACCCTTCGTGACAGCTTCAAATAATATAAAATGTCTTGGGGTAACTCTAACCCAGCAAGTGAAACACAAAAACTTCTTTCTTTGAAGAAAGAAGTTGAAGAAGATTACAGAAGATAGAAAGATCTCCCATGCTCATGGATTGAGCAGTCTGCAGATTCAGTGCAATCCCCATCAAAATTCCAACACAATTCTTTTTGTTTTGTTTTGTTTTGTTTTTTGAGACAGGGTTTCTCTGTAGCTTTGGAGCCTGTCCTGGAACTAGCTCTTGTAGACCAGGCTGGCCTCGAACTCACAGAGATCCACCTTCCTCTGCCTCCCGAATGCTGGGATTAAAGGCGTGCGCCACCACCGCCTGGCATCACAATTCTTTATAGACCATGAAAGGCCAATTCTCACACAGAAAAACAGAAACCCAGAGTAGATAAAACAATCCTGAATAATAAAGGAACTGCTAGAGGCATCACCATCCCTGATTTCAAGCTGTACCACAGAGCTATAGTAATAAAAACTGTGTGGTATTGGCATAAAATCAGACATGTGAATCAGTGGAATCAGACTGAAGACCCAGACATAAATCTACATACCTACAGACACCTGATTTTTGATAAAGAAGCCAAAAACACACAATAGAAAAAAGACAACATTGCTGTCAGAAATCACCTTCCAGCCACTTCCTCCCTCCCCAAAAATAAGTGCTATCAGCGCTGGCTTGATCAGCTAGGTCCGCTGTTGTGAGCTTTCCCTAATTGCAACTGTATGGTGTACACTGTGTCTCACTTGGCTTCTTTGCCCTAGAAAAGAATACAAGGGCTCTCTGGTGCTGATTACATAGGTGCATTCGTTTTATGAATATTTACCCAGCTGTACCATCAATTATGCTTTATGCACTGTTCTATGTATGTAAATACAGCTAAATAAAAATGTTTAGTTATAAAAAAAGAAAAAGACAACATCTTCAACAAATGGCGCTGGTCAAAATGGATATCTGCATGTGGGAGAATGCAAATAAATTCATATTTATAACCTTACAGAAATAAATGGGACCTCATGCTGTGGGGTGACCTTCTGTGCACTGTGAATATGTGTTGCTCTCACTGGCTGATAATATAAGCTGATTTGGCCTATAGCCAGGCCGAATAAGCCTGGGCAGGAAAGCCAAACAGAGATACATGGAGAAGGAAGGGCATAGTCAGAGAGACATGAGAGCCAGTCTCCCAAGAAGCAAGATGCCAGAGGACTGGTAAAAACCACAGCCACGTGACAGTACATAGATTAATAGAAATGGGTTAATGTCAATGTAAGAGCTAGTTAGTAATAAGCCTTAGTTATCAGACAAACATTCTATAGTTGACAGTAAACCTCTAAGTGATTATTTAAAAGCAACTGCGGGATGGGGTGGGACAGAAAAACTGTTTACAGCCTCATGAAACTGAACAGTTTCTGTAAGGCAAAGGACACCGTCAATAGGACAAAGCAGTAGCCTACAGAATGGGAAAAGATTATTGCTAACTCTACGTCTGATGGAGGGCTAATATCCAAATATATAAAGAACTGAAGAAACTAGATATCAAATAAACCAAGTGATGCAATTTAAAAATGGGGTACAGATCTAAGCAGAGAATTCTCGATGGAGGAATTTCAAATGGCCAAGAGATAGTCTTTAAAAAGTTTAACATCCTTAGCCATCAGGAAAATGCAAATTACATCAAAACTACTTTGAGATTCTATTTTACACCTGTCAGAATGGCCAAGATCAGTAACACAAGTGACAGCTCATACTGGTGAGGCTGTGGAGCAAAGGGAACACTCCTCCATTGCTAGTGGAAGTGCAAACTTGTACACTATGGAAATCAATATGGCAGTTCCTAAAAAAATTGGGAATCAGTCTACTTCAAGACCAAGCTATATGGGGGTTGAAGAGATGGCTCAGTGGTTAAGAGCACTGACTGCTCTTTCAGAGGACCCAGGTTCAATTCCCAGCACCCACGTGGTAGCTCACAACTGTCTGTAACTCCAAGATTCGATACCCTCACACAGACATATATACAGGCAAAACACCAGTGCACATAAAATAAAAATAATTTTTAAAAACCACCCAGCTATACAACTCTTGGACATATACCCAAAGGACACTCCATCCTACTACAAGGATGCTCACTCAACTACACTCATTGTGGCTTTATTCATCTGTTAAAAAAATGACATAGTGAAACTTTCAAGCAAATAGATGGAACCAGGAAAAAAAATCATCTTGAGTAAGGTAATCCAGACCCAGAAAGACAAATATGTCATGTATTCACTTATAAGTGGATATTAGTCGTTATGTAAATGATAATCAAGCTACAATTCATAGACCTAGAGATGCTAGGTAAAGAGGAGGGCTTGAGGGGGGACATATGGATCTCTCTGGGAAGGGGAAATAGAATAGCATTTGAAGGTGGATTGCGGTGGGAGGGGATGGGAGAGAGAGGGGCTGGGATAGAGAAAGAGTGCAGGGAGAAACAGCTGGAATTGGGCTGCATTGCTGGATGGTGTGGAACCTGCACAGTGGAAGCTACGAAGACGGTCCTCAGGAGGACTCCTAGTAATGGGAAATACAGAGTCTGAACTGGCCATCTTCTGGAGCCAAGCAGGCCTTCCAATGTCGGGACTAGGCTGCATTAGTTTGACTTGTTGGCCAAGTCGGCCTGTGGAGATCCCCAAACAACCAAGGCTGATGCTAGGACAGAGCGATGCTGACTACAAACCGGCAGTGGGATCCCATTGCTGAGGACAACAGCCACACAGCTCACTGAATGTGGGGAGGTCAAGTGGGTGCCTGCAGGGAGCCTTCATCCCTACACTCTAGTCTCTTTGGTGTCGAAGATACTCGGCAGGTCCCAGAGTACCTTCTTACCAAAAGAGAAACCTGGACACCCATCCAACCATGAAAACTTTGGCCTGCATCCTGCCTGCAAGATGTCCTGGAGCAACGGCGCTACAGAACTTGTGGAAGTGGCCAACCATGTCTGATTTAACCTGAGGCCCACTCAGTAAGATGGAGTCCATGCCAGACATTGGTTGGTTGGCCAGGAACCAGAAACTGGGTAGTTCAGAGACCTAAGGTAGAGCTAAACAGAACTGGTCTTTTTTAAAAAAATCAATTAAATAATTCCTAATGATATCTATGCTCATAGATCACTGCCTTTGTCCAGTGGTCAAAAGAGAGGCTTTCTCTGGCAGGAACAGATGCAGAGACCCCACAGCCAGGCATCATGTGGCAAGAGAGTCTATATTTGAAGTCTCCATCTGATTCGTCCCATCAGAGCTCAGACAACCACGAGGAAGAGGGGAAGAAAGATTGTAGGACTCAGAGGGGATGGAGGACACCCACTGAATCAACTAACCAGGGCTCAATGGGCTCACAGAGACTGAAGCAGCAAGCTTGGGGCCTGCATGGGTCTGTACAAAGTCCTCTGCATACATGTTGTTACTGTTAGCTTGGTATTTTTGAGGAGCTTGTAACTGTGGGAGCAGGTGTGTCTCTGACTCTTTTGTCTGATCTTGGGATTCTTCTTCTCCTATCAGGTTGCCTTGTCCAGCTTCAGTGTAAGGGTTCTTGCCTTGCCTTTTTGTGTTTTGTTGTGTTGTGTTTGGTTGTTGTCTCTTGAAGACTTTCTCTTTTCTTAAGAGAAAGTGAAGCAGAGTGGATCCAGGAGAGAGGAGAGGTGGGGGGAACTGGGAGGAAAGGAGGGAGGAGAAACTGGAGTCAGGATGTATTGATGAGAGAAGTATCTACTTTCAATAAAAGAATAGATAGATAGATAGATAGATAGATAGATAGATAGATGATAGATAGACAGACAGACATTTAGATAGATGATAGATAGATATTTAGATAGATAGATAGATAGATAGATAGATAGATAGATAGATAGATAGATAGAGACAGACAGATAGATAGATAGACAGACATACAGAGAAGGGAGGCCAGCAGTGCCTTGAACCAGCCAGTCTGAGGAACACCAGTTTTTGCTGAAAATCCTTACATGAACTCTAATAAAAGTCTCTGCACCTGGGCCTGGTGGTGGCCCATGCCCTTAATCCCAGCAGTCCAGAGGCACAGACACTTGGATCTCTGTGAGTTCAAGGCCAGTCTGGTCGTCATAGTGAGACCCTGTCTAAAAAAAAATAAACAAAAGCAATGGGGGGGGGCAAAATACTCTCTGCCCCTGTGCTTCTCTGGGGCAATCTTAAACTGTGGGGACAGGCTGGGTTTCCTGCCATGTGCTTATTGAGGGCTCCTCGGTGCAGGAACAGAGGGAGATGGAAAAGCTGGCATTGCTCCCAGCAGCTGAAAACTGTGGTTCCTTTCTGTCTCTGGCTTCCCACACCTTTACACCGTTCCTTATCCAACGTCTCTGCACATTAGAATCATCCTCTGAGGAGGATCTCAGCCTTCCATGCAACTCATGGCTCAAGACTGAGGTTCCTAGCCCTCTCGTTTAACTGCAGTGGGACTAAGTGACACCTACTATGCACGTAGATGTTGAAACTGAGTCTGAGAATAGGTTATGAGAGCCTTTGAGGATTGCAGGCAAACCACACCCTGCTGAGCTACATATCCCAGACTGTCCTCGAACTCCAGACCCTTGTGTTTCAGCCTGGATTCTAGGGTTACGTGTATGTGCCATTGAGGCCATTTTAACTTCTGGCTTTCTTTTTTCCCTTGCTTTGTTTGCATATGAGGTTTGCTTGTGAGATTCCCTGGAGCCTCAGAGTCCAGGACAAAGACCACCGACATGGGATAAAAACCCAAGGAGTGTGGAAACGTTAAAGAACATCACAAAGGAACCATCCAAGAGTTACAAATTCCAATTCCAGCCTTTATTTCAATGGCAGAGCAGAGAGGAGGCTCAACCCAGGTTAGGTCATTCCCAGACAGAGACAACTGGACAGGAGCCCCTGGGAATGCCTCTCCACCCAGCTAAGAGGTTAGGGAGGAAGAGAAGAAGATAATACTGGTGCTGCCACTTCCACAGCTGCCACAGCCAGGAGCTGGGACACCTCAAGCAGCAAGCTGACCTCCAGAGGTCAAGGCAGAACCAGAATCAGGCAAGGACCAGACAGGAACAGCAGACATTGCAAGAGTGTACAGACTCAACAAATGAGGAAACTCTTGGGAGCCCCCAAACAGCATTGAGATTTCACAAAGGGGACCCCCAGGGCCTGCAGGCTCCAGGGACTGAATGCTCAGGGGAGCTTGACCACAGTGAGTCACTCACAAAGAGACTTCGATAGCCACCCCCAACCCCCGTGTGTTGTTCTGTAAGGGTAGGAACAGGTCTGGAGGGAGGAGGGCGAAAAGAGTCAACGAAAAGCACGGGAAGAACGCTGGCGGGACATGAAAAGGGACCCGAGAGGGGCCTCTAGCTGCTGCCCTGCCCCTGCTGCTCCTGCTGGCACTCCTGCTGGCGGATGAGGTTGGCCATGGGGCTGGTGATACCACCTATCATGGTCCAGTATTCATCAAAACTGATGCGCCCTTCGTGGTTGGCGTCCAGGTTCTGGATGAGCTTGTCAGCTGCCTTTCGGTTCCCTGTGTCCTGCAGGAGAAGTGGAGTCAGTAAAACTTGAGATAACCCAGACAGGACCCTAGGCAGAGTCCCGGAAGCAGCCCTGACAGCTGCTGCCTTGGCCAGGCTGGCAGGGCATGGGCGGGGAGGGGGGGGGGGCTGAGAGGCATGTGAGGAGCAGAGGAAACAGGGAGAGCAAAAGCTGGGTACCGTCAGCATGTGGTTCAGCTCTCTCTGGAGCATCTTGCGGAAGCCACTCTTGCTGATCTTGTTCTTGACCAGGCTGTGCTTGGAAACGTATTTATAGAAGTTCTCCACCAGGACGACAACTGCCTTCTCCAGCTCTGTGTAGCACTCAGCCATCTCACTGCCTCAGCTCCTAGGAACCAGAAAGAGAGGAGATGAGGAGAAACATCCCCACACACAGCTCCCAGCACCCCTCAAGACTGCTTGTCTCCTGAGCAGGGAGAGGAGCAGGCATGGAAGAGCAAAGGGAGTGCGGGGGCGGCCCTGGAAGGAGAGCTAAGCACTCCTCTAATCCAGGTGTTCCCCAGCCAGGCTGCCAACTGCCAAAACAGGTTCTCCAGGTCCTTCCGTGCCCTAGGCAGCCATGCTGCCTGTCAGAGCCCTCAGAGTTGGAGGCTCCTGTGGGAAGTGGAGGCAGGTAACTGTTCCCCTACACACACTAGGGTCGCCTGATCTAGGGAACCACAGCTGGGAAGAGTTGAGAGAGAGAAGGCCAAAGACTTTTATCTTCCATCCCAAGGATTGGCTGAGACCCCAGCCCTAGGCCACAAAGCAGGACTAGAAGCCCTTGGCCCACTTCAACCCCTTGCAGGGGCTCTAAGACAGTGAGTTCAGGGGCTCAGGCCACCACTGTCCCTCTCCATCAGAATAGATTTTGTGTGGCTCCCCTCCTGGCCACACCGTGTCAGCCTCTCCTCCCTCATAACCATTCCTAAGTAGACATCATGACCCAACAACACCCTTCACCCCATTACCTAAGAAGATGCAGGCCCAGTTCTGCCCCGGCTGGAGACAGACTCTGGGCCTCTGGATGCAGCGGCTGCCTGGCAGAGGCCAGATGCATCACCCCCTCACCCCAGAACAAAAGGCACTCTCAGTCCAAGCGGATACAGCCTTTCGAATAACAGGATATGAGGGGAGCAGGCGGATCCACTCTGCGAGTCGCCGCCCATGCCCAGAACCCCTCCAAGTCAGCCTGGCAAATCAGACTCCCCTCCCACCCTCAAGCATAAGAATGAAGTTCTGCTACCCTCCCCCAGCTGGCTCCAGGAAGGGAAAGTGGACACGAAGGACACAGCCACTTGGGCAGGCCTGTGCTCCCACAATCAGATTCACAAAGGTGGTCTCCCTTCACCAGGCCCCACCAGGCCCTCTGTCCTTAGCACCTCCTTTCTATCCTCGGTGGCGAATGGTCCTCTCACCTGCAGGCCTGAACACTCTGGCCCTCCTCAAACTGTACCTGCAGGAAAACTCGCCTTGACCTCTGTCATTGCTACACTCTTTCTGGACTCCCACAGCCTTGTCTGTCTTCACCACATCAACACCAGCTGGGATCATTATCTAGTTTGGTAAGTCTCCGGCTCTTATCTCTCCATCTATGGAGCCGGCTTAGTGTTTCTTACATTCAGCTGCTGTTCTCTGATCCAAATAGGAGACTACGTGGATGTGAGGGCAAGGTTTTCTAATCCTGAATGCACCACTACCCTCTTCTTAATCTCTGAAACTTGCCTGGCCTACAATGCCTGGCCAAGTGCCCTGCTCAGAGGAGATGTTCCAATATCCCACCTCCTTCCAGCCCTAATGCCCAGCATCCAAGGTCCCTCCTATCCTTCTACACTTTTATGCATCTTTTTCTTAAGGAATGATCAGAACAGGAGGAAGGCGGCCAGGATGCAGGAAGGAAGGAGAGCTGAGAGGGTCAGGCTGCAGCATCTCTGATGGGAAATCCTCCCCTGCTGACCACTCTGGTCTGTGGCTAGAAGGATGACACACGGTGCCAGACCCACAGGAAACTATATTCTTCCCCATACTCTGTTTGTGAAGGGTGTAACAGTGTGGTTTAATGTTTGAAAGACACTCAGACAAATTCTCTAACATACACAAATAAGGAAGAAAAAAGATTTTCTGCCCTAATGCCCTCGGGTGGGGTGAGGATGGCCTGTGGCCAGCGTTCCTGGAGGTTCTAGAACCCGAGCCGGGATCAAGCCTTGAGAGCAAGAGAGGAAATGGGGAACCCCCCCCACACACACCCCACAGGGAAGAGTTCTGTAGGAAACAATCAAAGAAAAGATAGGGAACGAGTAGATAATTGGGTTGCTGTGCCTCTGTTGCTGCCCCCAAAGGCCAGTCCAGCTCTCCCTCTGTCTGTCTTAAGTCTTGTTCTTCCAAGGTAGCTCCCTCCTGCCCCCTTAGCTCTATGCCCAATCCCTACCTGGCCTCTTGCAGCAGTTAAGCAAGCAAATGACAGAGGAACACCCAACAGATGAAGCAGACACCTGTCCCAGGAGCACGGGGCCAACAGGAGATGCAGCCTTGGTGTGCTGACTCTTTCCCAGGCCGTCCTCCCCTAGATCTGCCTCCTCCCCAGGTTCTTATAAAATGGACAGCTCTGAGATAACCATCAGGACAAGTGCTTTTCTGGAGCTTTGTCTGAAGACGGAGCCTCAGAGTGAGGCAGTCAGGTGTCATTACTCTCCTCCTCCACCCTCCCCTGGGGGGCAGAAGACAGGCTCAGCTGCCCCACCCATTCACAGCCACCTGCTCCTCAGCCGTCCCATCCTTCAACCAGTCAGGCCTGAGGACCTCCAGGCATGGGGGGTGGTACTCTTCCCTTCCTGGGCAGATCTATCCAGGAGGCAATTTCGTCACAAACAAGTCTTGGAAAGGGAGTTGGGGGTCATATAGGGGTACGCCAATATACACTAAAGCTTTCCAAAAAAAAAAAAAAAAAAAGCAGAAATCAGGAAAACACCTGTCCTCCAAAGGGCCCTTCCCTAAAGGGGCCATTCATCTTGGGCCGCACCCTTCCCCCAATGTTCTCTTAGTCTCCTGGACTGATTCATCATTGAGCAACCAGAAAGCTCCCATCCCCCCTCCCCCCCACCCCGCCCACCTGAGCCCAGCTTGCTGACTTTTCCAAAAGCCCAAATTGCCCTGACTCCATGCCCCTGGATCTCAGCCACTCTAGCACCACCCTCCCACCCCCAAGTCCTGGGCGACACCCCTTTGGAAGAGCCTGCTCACCGCCATCCCTTAATCCACCTGGTCCGGACCTCCGGAAGCCTGCCACACCCACCAAGGGTCACCTCACATACACTTAATTCGCAGCTATTTCCAGATGTTGAATATGTCCCTACTCTTACCTCTCCTACTCAGGATCCTCACCAAAGCCTACAAGAGTTTCACTTTTAGCTCTGGCATGCTCCGTGTCCCCCTCAGCTGCCTCGGATGGACCCCCTGCTTCACCGTTTGTCTGGGTACTCATTCACCAATGGCCTCATTGGCTCATTTCCATTCATTCGCGTTTACATTCAGCCAGACACTCACTCTCTCATTCATTCAGCCATTCCCTCCTGAGAAGCTCACTCCACCCAACGGCCATCAATATGCAGGGATAGTAAAATAACGAACGTGGCTAGGAGTCTGTTCTCAAGGCTCTATGGTGACTCCCTCCAGCCTCCCAGGCCCAGTCTCTGTCCCTCCATGCTTCTCCCATGTTGGAGGATAATGGCGCAGAGGTGCTCCTACCTCTGCACCCTCACAAGACTCACGACATCACACCCACATATGAACATCCATGAACACAGCAGAGAACTCTGCCAGTCCTCATCTGCTTGGGGACCCCATTTATCCCCAAACAACTTCTGCTGAAGCAAGAACCCCTTTGCATTTTTCCACCTCGTAAAGTTGTAAGAGGGGGGTGTGCACGCACACACCTCTACCCCAGGCCTCCCCAACCTTCAGAGGGCTCCTCTCTTGGGGGAAGCTGAGCCCACCTTCCCATCACTCTTACCCTTGCCCCCACCTCAACTGGGCTGGGCAGGCAAACACTCCTACAGCGCAGGTGGCTCTGCTAGGCAAACCCAGTCAAGCTGGGACCTGCCTAGGATCTAGCGTGGAAAAGCTGCCAGTTTGAAACTCCACTCCTCTCTCTTTCCCTCTCCCCATCCAGGGGACCTCCCAGGCTTCCCCAGGCCCCTCCCAAGGAGCACTACCCAGTGCAAATGAGCAAATGAGGCCTGCATCCGGACTCTGCCTGTGCCTCAGGTAAAGGAGAAGCCACCTCAGCCCCTGCCTCTCTTCCCTGGCTTCTTAGGAGCTCTGGACCCTCTCTAGTTCCTCCCGGACCCCATTTTCTCTCCTAGGTTGCAGTTACCATAGTTCAGTGAGGCCTGTGTCTACAGTCCAACCACCCCCAACACCCACCAAGAAACACTCGCTCTGTTCCCGTTCAGAGAGGACAAGGACGCAACAGCTGTGGGCAAGGCCCTGGAATGTTCTGCCCAGAGTCCCAGCCCCTGGAGACAAGCCAGGTCAGCTGTTTGGCCAGGGAGAGGGGCTTACTACCCTGCCTAGTCCTCCAAAGCTTTCACAAAGCCACCAGGGTTCCTCTTTCCCTAACTAGCCTTCGGGGAGAGTTCATTACCAAAATCTTCTGCCCTGCGTCTGCCAGGCACCTCTCTCACCAGGCTTCCGTGACCCTTCTTCTGACCCGCAAAGGCTTCAGGATCCCCCCAGCCACCCCAGACCTCCTCAGCTGGGGCTGGAGTGCTTACCTGCCTCCCCGTTGTCCACCTCCTCCAGCAGGGCTCTGAGGCCTGGGCTCTGGCACTGACAGCCAGGCAGCTCCTGCTCAGCCGAGCCAGGACTCCTCCCCACGGCACTCCAGAATCTGTCCCACTCCCTTTGCCTGGCTGAGCTGGCTGTGGGAAGGTAGTGACTGAACTCTTGACTTGGCCCTGGGGTTGGGCCCTTGTTAAAGGGGTACACACCTTTTTTTTAAACACCCCTCTACCCTCACCCTAGAGGGAGTGGTAGAAGCTGGCACTCCTCCAACCCCACCCTCCTAACCCCACAGGCTCTGAGCAGAGCCCAACAGGATAGAGGAGAGAAAGGGAAGGCTCATCACCTGCCCTTCTCACCTCGGTCACTGAAAGCCAGGTTTCAGGGCAGCCTCCACCAAAGACGAGTTCAGTTAGATTCCCAGGCAGCCTACCTGGCCACAGGACTTCTTCGCTGTTGGGATTTAAGGGATCTATCACCCGATTTCTGTTGGTTAGGATAAGAGGGCAGACAGCAGCTCTTTCTGGTCTTGCCTCTCCAGCTCAGCCACCCTGAGTTTGAAGCACATTCCTAAGACCCTCCTGCATGTCAGGTGTCTCCTCTGCACATCCTAACCCTGCCACACCTTTCCTCCAGGTACCCAAAGAAACTGTCCAGCTGGACCTCCTTCTAGAGGGTGGCAGCCAAAACAGAGAGGACTACCATGATGACTTCTGTCAGGTCCCAAAGAGCACCCCCCAAAATAAATAAATAAATAAATAAAAGGGTGACTAACTGAGCTGCCTATGGGCATATCAAAGCGCATGCCAGGTTCTCTCAGCACAGAGTCCCGGCTCCTCTCAGTATCTCTTACCCCACACCCTACCTTAAACCTCTCCGGCTTCACTTCCCTTCCCTTCCCCAGCATCTGATTCCTGTATAACCTAGCCATTTTGGTCATCCACAGTCTGGGGTTTCTTTGTCCTTTTGGCTTCTCTCTTGGACCTCCATTCGTGGCTCCTGGTCCCCTCTCTCTTCTCTCCCTGTTGTTATCCCCCCTAACCCCCAGCCTCCTCTCAAGTCTTTGTCCTTGTCTGCTCTGCTGCCAAGCTCGGTCTGGGCTCTTCCCGTTGCTTCTGGCTGTTTTCTTCCTCCCATCTACAATAAAACCCTTCTCCTCAGCCATACCTAGGAGCAGTCAGTATCCTCATTTTCATTCACGTGGTGCTCGAGACCCAGGAGGGACACATAGGAGCCTCCTTCCAAGGGGCTTAGCCCCTCTCTTAACAGAAGCAACCTGCTGATTTGACTCTACTAGACTGTGTAAGAATCATTTGTTTCTGCTGGCTTCTGCCACCCACCAAATTTGACTCCCAATTCTACAGTCTGCCTCTCCAGCTGTTTCTTCCCTCCACCCGCTTTAAGCATCTCTCCTCGTCTGTTCAGTGTCTCTCTGACTCCTGGACCTGCTGTGCCCTCCAGGGCGTCCCCACATGAGCACCCCTCTTTCCCTCTGTTGTAGCGGTTCTCAACCCGTGGGTCACAACCCCTTTGGGGGGTCAAACAACCCTTTCATGGGGATCACCTAAGACCATCAGAAAACACACTTTTACATTATGATTCATAATAATAGCAATATTACAGTTATGAAGTAGCAATGAAAATAATTTTATGACTGAGGGGTCAGCACAACATGAGGAACTGTTAAAGGGTGGCAGCACTGGCAAGCTGGCAACCACTGCTCTATCCGAACCTTCCCCTCTCCCAGAAGCCCCTCCCAGTCCACCTCCGGGGCTGTTTTCTTCTCTCCCTGCTCTGACCAGGCTCTCTCCTCCTCTACTGAGTAAGCATCATCATAGTCTGTTATTACTAAAAAGCCACATTGGTGTACCAGAAAACTCCATCATGCTCACGAGGGAAATGGGATTTGGGTCATTGCTCTCTGATAAGACTCTCAGTCCCTTAGGGATGCTCCAGGCTGAAATCCTGGTCACCTTGCTTCTGTCCTGTTCCCTTTGCTCTCAACTCCTTCCTGGAATTTCCTCACCTCTCCCTAGGAGCTGCTGTCCCAGGGTTTCCTTTCCCTCCTGGGCCTCTAGATATTGGATTCCTCCCTCAAGCAGAGTTCCTGTCTGTGACCCTCATCCCTTCTGTCTCTCAGCTCCCTCCTGGAAGGGCCACTGCTTCCTATGCCCTGGGTCTCTGGCTTCCTTACACCCACCCAGGCCTTAGCGAACCCTTTCTCTTTTCTTCCTCACACTCAGATTTCTGTGTAGCACATTTTTAAACCCAGCCCTGGGGAGGCAGAAGCAGGCAGATGGCAGATCTCTGTGAGTTCAAGGGCAGACTCGTCTACAGAGTGAGTTCCAGTCAGAGTTACACAGAGAACTCCAGCCTCAAAAAAAACAAAAACAAACAAGAAATAAACAAAAAAGGATCAAGAAAATAAGGATCCCAGTCCCTCTGTCGATTGTGTTTATGGTTTTGTAAAGTCCCCAGTCTCTCTATTTGATGCTAAAGAATCTTAAGCTCCAATTTTGAAGACTCAAACTACTAACTTGTAACCTGTTAGATAGTTAAGACATGTAAGTTAACGGTCAGTCACCTTTTTTTTCTGGTTTTTGGAGACAGGGTTTCTCTATAGCTAGTTCTCTGGAACTAGCTTTGTAGACCAGACTGGCCTCGAACTCACGGAGATCCAACTGCCTCTGCCTCCTGAGTCCTGGGATTAAAGGCATGTGCCACCACTGCCTGGCTACAAATTCTTTAATGTACTCAAAACTATTCTCATAAGCTACGTTAAGTACAAATGTAATTCGTTTACAGGGACAAGTTTTATTTAGCCTCCTGTATGTTTTTCAAGGTTAAGCCCAAAGCAAGTAACTAAAAACAAGTAAAGGTTTCTTAACTCGGGTATACTTAATAGATGATGGTCCTCAAACTCCTCAGAGATCTGCTGACTATGTCATTTAAATGTTTAATGGAAAGAGCTTCCTGTGATGGAGAGAACCACTACTCCTCGCGGTGGCCCTCAGGTCGAACTGACCCACGCCTCACCCACCACCAGGGTTCTGCCCAAACTGTGGTCACTGCTGAGTCAGCTGTGACCCCTCAAGGCACATGGTTTCCCCAAGTTCCCTCTTCCACAGAAAAGCCCCTCAGATCTCTGGGGCTGGCAGCTGAAGGTCAATGCTGTCCTGTATGGAAGCTGAAGAGTTTTTGGTTTTGTTTTTTGAGACAAGATTGCTCTATGTGTCTTTGGCTGTCCTGAAACTCACTCTGTAGACCAGGCTGGCCTCAAACTCAAATTCTTCTGCCTCTGCCTCCAGAGTGCTGGGATTAAAGGTGTGTACCACCACCGCCCAGCTGGCTGTTTTCTAAGTGTGGACTTAAAAGTGCTTCTCATTGTGTTAAAGACATCTGTCCAGTCTCTATACACCCGAGGAAAGTGTGTTCATGCTTTTAACTCAAAATCATTGTTTTGGGTCCCCAAGCTTTTACTATGGCTCGAAGGCGCAAGTCAACTGCTTTTTCTTCAATGTGGATTTCAGTACAGATTACAAAGAGTGATAATGCTAGTATATATAAAAACTTTTTTATCTATTTTTGTAAACTTAAAAAATTCTTGTAAGCTTCAGGATGTCGTGAGATTTGGATCCACTTCTCACAGGTCAAACAGACTTCAGACTTCAGATAAGTAGACCTGTCAATCAACAGCCTAAATTTCCCCACCTGCCTATTCCTGAGGGTGGGATTTCTTTCTCTCTCCTGGTCTCGGGACACCCCTCCCCCACCATTCCCCCTCCCTACTGCCACAGCAGCTGCCAGGACCCTTGACCCGAAAGTTTCAAATATATACCCAAGATAAAGAAAAAAATTCCACTAAGCTCCTTAACTTTATCTTCGGTGCCTAGTCTATCCTTGCCCCAGCAGATTTCCAGTCAGCTGAAGAGTCAGACAGCTCCAAAATGGCCTGGAAAGCTCCAGCCCCAGATGTTCCTTCGAACCTGCATCCTTGACTGCTCCAAAGCAGCCTGCACATCACTAGCCCCAGATGGTCCCTCGGAACCTGGGCAGTGAGCGAAACGGATGTCCTTCTGTCTTCCCGCCTTTGACCAACCTTCCAGCCTTCTTGGGCCCCCAGTGAGGTCCCAACTTCAACTAAGAAGCAGTTACAGCAGAGATTACATCACCCATGATCATCAACAAAAAAGCTGGAATGTCAGATCCCAAAGAAAGCCCAGGCAAATGGCTAACTGTGGTGCCTATTTAGCCTACCAAAGCCAGATTCTCCATTGCAAGAACCTGATACAGAGTCCTGGCTCTTCTCAACACTTCTCACCCCCACACCCTACCCCAAACCTCTCCAACCCCTGAGCGTTGTTTCCCTTCACCTAGCTTGATCCCTATATAACCATTCATTTTACCACATGCTCTCTTGGTTTTTCTTTGTCCTCTTGGTCATCGGGCCTTTCCTAGTCCCATTTCTTGCCTCTTTCTCCTCTCCCTCCCGCTCTCCTCTCCCTCCCGCTCTCCTCTCATGGCCCGCTCTAGTCTGCTGTCCATGTTCAGTCTGGACTCTTCCAGATGCCTCCGGCTGTTCTCTCCCTCACATCTACCATAAAAACCTCTCCCCAGCCACACCAATGTCCTCATTTTTATTCAGCTTCCACTTCCTGGGCACTCACTGTGTCGGGCTTTCTGGTAGGTACTTCCTTGAGGGGTCACATCCTCCTCCTATGAGAGGACCATTCACACCCCCATGAGGAAACCCACTGCAGGAGAATGCCCAGAGTTCAAAGCCGTAAGTTATGATCCAAACTCCAGTCACTCAACCTGTTTCTCAGTGCCTATTTCCCTTGACATTAGTCAGCTGTGCCCCAGGACACGTGGTTCCTCCCTTCCCCCAGGTATGAACAGAGCTTTCATCTCCTAGCAGAGGACCAGCCCAAGCAAGGAGGAGCCTGTCTCGGAGAGCAATACTTCTCTAGTTTTAGGCCTGGGACCACCCTCAACCCAAGTCCACAGAGGGAAGCGAACCCCTAATCTCTCCCACAGCCAACCACTCCATCTTCATACCTCCTACCCACCAATGACCCTGCTATTTGCCCCAAAGACCCCCTTATCCCTGGACCCTGAATACTGGGCAGAGGAGAGGAACAAACAGTCAAGACAACATATTTTATTTTTCTGATATTTTTATTAATCAAATATTATAAAATAACTATCATCCACAAATGCCCAAGCACCTAGCTAGTCCTCTCACCCCGAAGTCCTGAAGCCATGCCCTCCTTCGCCCCTTTTGCTGCTCTGCTCTTGTTTGCCCCTGATCCTACTGGGAGGAGGATGGGGCAGAGCTGGAAGCAGCAAGGACGGCAAAAGGCAGACAGCTACAGCTTCACTGGACAACACTGGAAGGGGTCAGCTCTCAGACGCCCGGCCAGCTTCCCCACCCACTCTTCAGATCACTTCCCATAGTCCATTCTGCCCTTCCCCTACTACCTAGGGTTTGGCCCTTCCCCCACCAGGATCCCTGCATACCTTTCCAGCCCCAGCCCACCCCCTGAGCTCCCCTGGGATGAGGACTTGGACCCAGGAGCTCCTCAGAGCACCCTAGAGGAGGGCACAGAGCCCAAGGGAAGGTTGTCCTGAGCCTGAACCTCACAGCAATGAGGAGAGGTGCAGGCTGGCGAGTGGGGGGGGGGGGTTAGGGTAGAGAGAAGTTTTATTTCCATGCCCAGGACCTCTAGAATCCCCTACCTCCAATACCCCCAAGACCCCCAACAAGTTCCAAGCACAAGCTCTTAGCTCCGAGCAACAGGGCTCTCCATCTTCACACTCTTGGCTGCTTCTCCAATCAGCTCCCAGAAGCTTCCAAACTCCAGTTTCGAGTCATTACAGTTGCCCAGGTTGGCAATTTTCTCTTCTAGCCCACAGTTGCTCTGAGAACAGGAAAGACACCACAACTCAGCAAGACAGCCACTCCAAATCCTCCTGCCCCACCCTGGCCTAGGGCGAATAGGAGAACTGGAGCCTACCGGGTGGGCGTTGGCAAAGAGAAAGGCAGGGGGTAACCAGGGCCAGGTGGGTGGGGTCTTGGAGCACCAGCTTGGGAAGTCAGGGGTCTGGGTGGGGTGGGGTCCACTCCCTCAGTACCGGCATGAGGTGAGGCAGCTGCTGGGTAACCAGGTCTCGGAGTTCAGTAGGTGTCAGCGTCTCCTTTCCGCCCTCCACCGAGTACTGATGGAAGTTCTTGATGAGAGTCTCGATGGCTCTCTCTACATCACTGAATTCTTGGGCATCCTGAAGATAGGAGACACAGGCCATGTCAGGAGGACCTGCCCTCCCTGCAGAACCCTTCTCAGGAGTCTTGGAAAATCACCAGGATAGGAAGCAGCTAGAAGACGCTCTTGAGTCCAGAATCCTGCCCCCACTCCTTCTTTACCTACCCATCCCCCAGGCCACAGTGACCTCTGCCCTAAGCCACAGATTAGGTAAGCCTCACCACCCCAAATCCTAGGCAGGGCAGGCCCTGGCATGTGCCTAGACATCCTATTTCCAAAAGAACTCCATTTTCATCACCCTGTGGAACCCTAGGGAGGAGATTTGGGGCTTTTTGGCAGTATCTCTAGGGCAAGGCCTAGAAAAGAAGCAGATGTCATGGGAGGCATGAATCCCCATAAGAAGAAGAGAAGAGTGTAGGAACAAAAAGACCAGCCAGATGAATGGGCCCACCTCAGCGTTGGCTGACCGACACTGTCCCATGGTGTCTGGTACACTGGTCCTCCGGTGAGTTACTTTTGTCGTCTGTCCTATAGCCTGCCCCACAGGAGCTGATGGCTCATGATCTGCCTAGAGCAGGGAGGACTGAGTGAGGGGAGAGAGAGCTCACCATTCTCTTTCTCATGCCCGTTTTTGGCTTCACCCAACTTATACATTCACCTAAGCCATTGGAGTCCACACCCCACAGATCCAGTCCCTATCCAAACTCCAGCAGCTAAGGGCACAGCCCCCAGGCCAAGCCACTCAGAGGGAACCCCCTGGGCCTCACCTCAGCCTCATTCTTCCCACCTCCTCCAGCCAACCCTGAGAAACTTGGGCAAGAGGGGCATGGAGTACTCCATGAGGAGAGACAGCCCATCTAGGTGGAAGGAGCTGGGCTTTCTTACCTGCTGGCAGCTGCAGAGACAGGATGGAGGAGCCAGCTCACCTGAACTCAGCTCTTATACCTGGGGGAAGGGAGGAGCAGGCAGGGGCAGGGCCAGGGCCTTATCCCTCAGCCACCCCAACTATTGCAGCCTCCTGGGCTGGGAGCCAGCTTTGTGCGCCCCACCCTCCCTCTAGAGTTCTAGACTCAGTCACCACCCAGACAGCGAGGAGGAAGTCATGGAGGGCTGGGTATGGGATACCCCTGGCACAAGATAGCCTTGCAGGGTCACAGGGAGGGGAGAGAAGAGAGTGAAGACAAGGCGTGCAGAAGTAATCACACCTGGGAGGGAGGGAACCTAGCAGCCAGGAGGCAGGGAAGAAGGGGGAGTCTACAGTGAGAGGAGAAGGAAGGGTTGCTAAGGGTGGGTTTGCTGGATGAGGAGTCTGAAAGAGATCCCCAGGGTCTCTGTGCTTTGACTCTTCTCTCCTCTCCCTCCCAACCAGAGCTAATTTGGCTAGGAACGCTGGGCCTGCTGAAGCCCAGAGCCAAGCCAGTCCTGACAGCATGCGGATGAAAGGGCTGGAAGGAAGGCCAGAGCAGTGCACTCTGGGACTGGGAACCAACTGCTCTGAGCCTTCACCTGATGTCCTGCCAGCGCCTTGCAGCAGCCCAGGGTACACATGTGCAAGGCTCAAAGGCGTTCCCTGGCAGGTAACAAACTCTCCAAACTGGTTGGGCTGCTACCTCCTCCCTCCCTCAAAAATTCTACCCCCCTTCCCTGAATAGCATGTCAACACCAGCCCTCCAATCTACTACCCAGGAACCCCCAGGGGAGTCTAAACTGTTCTTCATGGGACTATGACCAACCCAACTACCCTCCTCACCTGCCCAGGACCTAGGATCTATAGTCATGGGGAAGGACAGACCATGGTGAAAAAACTGGGGGTCAACAGAAGGAATGCATGGGCCTAGAGTCAAAATTCCCTTCTAAGGCTGACTTCAGAGCACATATCCAGCCTCTCTTCTGTGTCACCTGCTGGAGGTCCCCTGTATTTCTGGTCTCAATCGGGGACTCTTCCACAACAGTGGCATTTGGAGAGCTCCTCTGAGGGCTTCTCTGGGGACTCTACAAGGGTCTCGCCATCAGAGGGCTTCTCAGAGTCCCTCAGCCTGGGTTCCCACTGAGGAGTCTGGAAATCTCTCAAATTCTCTGCCAATGTCCCCTCGGAGAGCCCAGGGATGCCTTCGGAGGTCCCTCTGGGGCCTCTTTCCTGGTACATGATGACTAATTTGTCTCTGCTGATCTTCCTCTGGCTGACTAGCTGCCCCAAGTGGACACCCACAGGTACAGCAGTGGCAACCCAAGATGCATACACCATTGCCACACCCCTACCCTCTCTAGTGGTGAGTTGTACAAACCACTTGCCCCTCAAGTCAGAGAGCAGGGTGGGGACAACTCTGTCCCCAAGTGCTCTCTCTCCCTGTCATATTTGAGCAGCATTTCTCCAGGCCAGCTCTAGCTTTGTTACCTTAACCTCCCTAAAATTGTTTCCTCAAAGCCAGGAGAGGTAGCACACCTGCTATCGACCCCAGTGCCTGTGAGGTTGAGGAAGGAAGATTGCTGAAGACAGTGAGACTCTATCTCAAAACAGTGACAAGGGGGCTGGAGAGGTGGCTCAGCAGTCAGGAGCACCGACTGCTTGTCTTCCAGAGCACCCACACGGCAGCTCACAATTGTCTGTAACTCCAAGATCTGACAGCCTCACACAGACACACATGTGTGCAAATCACCAATGCACAGAAAATGAAAATAAATATTAAAACAATAACAACACAAGAAGAAAGAAAAAAGCTAAGAGAGGGCCGGGGGTATGACTCCTCCCAATGGCCTAACATGTGCAAGATCTTAAGTTAATCCTCAACACTCAAAAATTAATTGATTAACCTTAACCGCCATGAGAGTTAACGAGGGTAATATGGGTAAAAGGTTTAGCAGGTAATCGTATTATCATCATTAACCAAAAAACAAACTCCAGGAATTATATGGGGAAAACTGGGAGCTGAAGTCACGGAGCTGAGCCCTAGGAGCTGCCTGCCTCAAATCTCTGTATTTTTGTTTTGTTTTGTTTTGTTTTGTTTTTTGTTTTTCGAGACAGGGTTTCTCTGTGGTTTTGGAGCCTGTCCTGGAACTAACTCTTGTAGACCAGGCTGGCCTCGAACTCACAGAGATCCGCCTGCCTCTGCCTCCCGAGTGCTGGGATTAAAGACGTGTGCCACCACCGCCCGGCTCTCTGTATTTATTGAGCACCTACTTAATACAAGGCCTATGCCACACATGCTCAAGGACCTGAGTTCTGTCCTTAACCCCAAAGGGATGAAAACCATCACACAGTCGGCAGGATGCTAGATGCTGTGGAGTATGAGAGGATGAATCTCATTCCTTGCCTTCAAAGTGTCTTTGATTTTCATGTTTTCACCTCAGGTAAAGACAGAGCTTTCCCGCTTCCTGGTGTCCAGAAAAGGAATCTGGGTAGAGTATAAGAACATGCATCTGTGTTTCAAGAAGGAAGCTTTATTAGGGGGAGTGACGTTCTGCCCAGCCCTGCCCAGCAGGCCCTGCTGGGCCCCCATCCCAACAAGCAGGCTTTATTTCTTCCGGATCTCCAGGGCTTTCTCCTTCCTGATTTCCTTTGCCAGTTCCCCAATCAGTCTCCAGTACTCATTGAACTTCAGCTCCGAGTCCTGGTTCACATCCAAGCTCTTCATCTTCTCATCCAGAGAGCCCACGTCCTAAGATGTAAAAGGGTTAGAAACTAGCAGGAAGAGAGAAGTACCATCAGGCGCTACCCACAAACAGCACCAACACCGGCACGAAGGGTGGGGCTACGGACCCAGGACTGCACTGCCGGAGGTCCCATAGCGAGGGACACAGGCAGACAGTGCGGCTGATCATAAACTACCCTCGTCCTCCACAATCCACTCCTGCTCATCTGCATCATCCTAATAGCTCCTCAATTTTGTCATCACCTGCCAGGTCAGAGGACTAGCAAAAATGCTGGGTTATCTGGTTTACTAGGGTGCTCTTGACAAAACATCTCACGGCTATAAGAGCAATGACCTCTGTAAGCCTGACTTCATGATAAAAGGATTCGTTGCCAGATAAACAATTACAACCATAAATGTCACTGCTGAATAACTCAGGGATGTCTAATGGAAAGATGTCTCACATAGAGCTTGATTCTCAAGACTGAGGTTTTGGGGGGCTAGATTCATTCATTTTATTTTGTATGTGTGTGAGCATTTTGCCAACATGTGATATGCATGTATACCACATATATGCCTGGTGCCCACAGAGATCAGAAAAGAATTGTCTTAGTTAGGGTTTATATTGCTGTGAAGAGACACCATGACCACGGTAACTCTTATAAAGGAAAACATTTAATTGAGGTGGCAGCTTACAGTTCAGAGGTTCAGTCTATTATCATCATGGCAAGGAGCATGGTGTCATGCAGGCAAACATGGTACTGGCTACATCTTGATCAGAAGGCAACAGGAAGCAGACAGTCTCACTGGGCATGGCTTGAGCATATATGAACCCTCAAAGCCCGCCTCCACAGTGACATATTTCCTCCAACAAAGCCAAATAGTGCCACTCCCTTTGGGGGCCATTTTCTTTCAAACCACCCAAGGATGCTATCTGAAGAGAAGTTACAGATGGATTTGAGCTACCATTTAGGTGCTGGGAACTGAATCTAGGTCCTTTGCAAGAGCAGTGTGCCTTGCCACTGAGCCATCTCTCCAGCGCCCATGCTCAACATTTGGGTCAACATCTTGGCAAAGATCTGCCAAACAAATCTCTAGATGACACGTAGCAAATTCATAGAGGCCTTTAGTTTTGTTTGGTTTTGGGAGTGTTTTGATTTGTTTTTCTTTTTAGCAGAGCCGTAAGCTCATTCATTCATTGCACAGCGCCTCTACTACCAGTGGAAGGGAAGGTGGCAGGGCCATCCCTTACATCCTGGACTCCAGGCATTGTGATATTATACTACCTTTTATTTCATTTGATCCTCGTGATCCACTAGAATGACAGCTTCTGTGGCACAAGGACCTTGTCTGCCTTGTTCAACACTATACTTTTAATCCCAACACTCGAGAGGCAGAGGTAGGCAGATCTCTGTGAGTTCAAAGCCAGCCTGGTATACAAGAGCTAGTTCTAGGACAGGCACCAAAGCTACAGAGTAAACCCTGTCTCAAAAAGAAAGAAAGAAAGAAAGAAAGAAAGAGAGAGAGAGAGAGAGAGAGAGAGAGAGAGAGAAAGA